AAAAAAAAAACATGACATCGATAATTGCCAGACCCAGTATAATAAGAAAACAGAATTTAAACCCAGTGTGACATATATCAAAAGAAAGACAAATATCCATAGATGAATATGATATGCATAAATTAGGTAGACGATTAGATGTAGAGAAGATATTTTCAATCAACTGAATACAATGATGAAATTTTAATATCAAATGTCAAATTAAATTATAAAATTTAGCACATGTCAAAACTAAAGTTGGCTTTACAAGAACCAGAATATGACCTACAAAAGAAAGAACATAAATAAAGAATATTTCACAAAAAGTACTAAATTTATATGTTAGAAATAAAAAGACATTGTCACAAATGTATTAGATGTAAGTAGTGAGGTGAAAGTGTAGTGAAAAAGGTATGCCCAAAGACTGGAAACTATGTGAAGGGACCTTAATGAAAAAGGAAACACTAGAAACTTCCAGAAGGTGGAAAAAACAATTGTTTATTGTTAGTTACGGCTTGGTTTTTATTGGGAAGAAGCCAGATATTAGAAGTAGCTCAGAAAAATCATATAATATTCAAGATATAACAGGCAGAAAGTAAAATAAAACTTACCAGTGATCTTAAAAATCGTTTATCTTCAAAATCTACAAAGAAACTCACCAGGCAAGAAAATTTTTGTAACCCATTAAAAGGCGGTATCGAGAGTATTCCAGTGGCCCATAATTGGTATTAAAAAAAAACATCGTTCCAGCAAGGAAAGCAGAACCCAACGAACAACAGGTACCTTTAAAAAATAAAAATAAAGTGCACAAAATAAGTCAAAATTCACTGCTATAGCTTAAGCAATTAAATTGTGATATAGTTTACCTTATAAAAGAACAAAAAGGTCAAACTAAATAACAGGACTTACCTGGATAAAGCTAAAGATAAATAAATCCCACAACCAGCTTTTAAAACCATACTAATTTGAATGAGCTCAAATAATCTCGAATATTGACGGCCATTTGTAATTAAATGTCAATTTTATACTATTAAGAGTAGATATTTAAGTTATGCAATACAATATACGAGCGAGTGTTGAAAGTAGAATTCATAAATAATTCAAAACAAAGAATTTTTGAAGAGAAAAAAAACTACCAAGCTCTTGTATTGTAAAAGTTATAATAGGATAAGGAAAAGTAATAGCAAATAAAATATTCTTTATATTTGTTCAATTAGAAATTAAATTGTATGAAAATATTTCGGAAGGAAAAGCCAATCAATTTAAAAATTTTCTATTTTTTGTTTTTGTTATGATATAATTACGATAACTGATAAAATTTTAAAAGAAAAATATAAATATTGTAAATTCTTAAAAATTCTATTTTTTTCTTGTTCTGTATGCTACAAGTCCTGAAGTAAAGAAAGTGAACCGACTCCTGAGATAAGACTTAAAGCAAAATCTAAGCGGCAGCTAGCAAGGGTATAAAAAAAATAATTAGATATACGAGGTAAGAAAGAAAAGAAAGTTGTATTTAAACAATGTACAGTAAAATCTAAATAATAATTACAGAAATAAAACAAAAGCAAAAACGCAACACTCAATACATTAAACACATAAATTAAAATTAAAAACTAAAATTAAATTCAATTTTCAAAACCAAAAAATATTTCCATAACAATATATTTGTTATATTATAAATATGTTACATATATACTAAGAAAAATAGAAAAATTAATGTAGATTATTTTATTACGTAAGAATTTCATTCCCCCTCCCCCCCCCAAGTAAGGAATGATAAGAAAATGTTGAGCCCCCCCCCCCATTGAACCCTTACGTAATTTATGGATGACCCCTAGCGCGATTCGGCTCGAATTTGGATATGTTAACCACCTAGGGATTCTCTAGCGTGGTTCTGAGGTTCGGCCGAGATCGAATGAGAAATCCGCGTTTCCCCGTACAACGGCGTTTTGGCTCATCCGATTCGGACGAAAATTTAGTGAGATAATGCCAGCGACTTGAGGAGTGCTGCATTAAATTTTGGCATCGATCGCTCAATAACTTTTCGAGTTATTGACGATAGCGTCCTTGGCCAATTCGAAAGGTTAGTAAAATTTTTGATGGTAGTTTCCAAATATCGCTTTGAAGCGTCCCGGGGTTCGTCTGCAGGTTGCGATAGTCGCTGCAGTAGATACTGAGCGTAGGGAAGGCAGACTCAGGCGAGATCGGAACATCGGTGAAATTGGTCTTTGGAAGCGCTATCACCGGGAGGATCGATGTCATGTTATGGGACGATGTCCGCACCGAGATGCAGTCGCGGAAATCGTTCTTGGATGGTATCGAGTTCGATGTCTGAAATGATACCGTGGTGGCTTTTTTTATTTACCCGGCCGACGGCGATTAGTTTTGCAACCGAAAGGTAGGCGAATTTGATTGTTTCGCCTCCTTCCCAATTCAACGGTCTCAGGCATATCCGTAGGCACAAGACGACTTTTAGGAATATACTGAGTGTTCTGAAATGCTGAAGCTCGCTCGAAGGGTGGAATACGACAATTACGTATAACGTTCCTTAAATGTTAGGTGGCCCAAAATTTCCTTAATATTGTTTTCCACCCATAATGGCATAGTCCGGACTTTATTATGAAATAAAACTTCCATCGAAATTTAAATATTCAGTGTTTTCTTTTTTTAACTCTATTTCCCCAAGGAGAAAATATACCCTGTTACTTCGAAGATATATGCTGTGCAAGGATAATGAACTATTGTAAATGAATTAATTCAAGAAAATAAAATTGTGCATTAAAAAGCCATGTTTAGTTTTTTTATGTGAAAATGTTAGTTACTTCATGCTATGTGGGAAATTTTTGAAAATTGTGATTTTTGTCCAAATCCTCGTAAAAATTTAATTTAAATTAAATTCTATTGACCTTGTATGCTGTTCTTCACATCTGAACAAAAATGTCCATTTAACATCCTTTTTTATTTACAAAATAATTTTTTTTATTTGTCGCTAGCTGTCAAACTTTTAATTTTTGTATTTGAGTATAATTTTTAGCTCATTTAAGGCATATACATATGATTTTTCATTAGCTTTGACTTTCTGTGTATTAAATTGTCATTTCGGTTTCAGTCAGCGTTATGCAAATTTTTCTTAATTATCACGTTGGGGGTCGAGCGGTTCGAGGCGTCAATACTTGAATCGATTAATGCCATTCTTTAAATGTCTACATTATCTTGCTACCCATATTGCAATATTTAACAAAGTGCTAGTATCGTCCCCGTGGCCGTAAGACCATAAATCAGCTATATTCATAGAGAGAATTAGGCATCCTCTTGCGTGTATAATAGGGTGGAAGAATGTTGTCTTAGGTCAATGTGAGAAATCGATACCGGTCGGTGTTTGACCATCCCTCTAAGTAATGAAGTTTTCAAGGTTTCCCTCATTCCTGCATGGTGGTTAGGGCTTACCAACATAAGTCGTTCCTAGAAGCACATGCGGCCTACTGCCTACTCCCGCACAAGTTCTCGACTTCTGAGCTAATTCTTGCGATTAAAATAAGGGGAGAAGAGATTTTATGCAAATTACCTTTAATTGTTTGCAGATTACTATACATCTTAAACCAGCTCCTAAATGTTGATTCAATATAAGAATTATCTGTTGCCATTTCTTTAATAAACCTAAACAAGCAATTAAAATTGTCTCCAGGCAATTGAAATAGATTTGATGTATCCAGAATAATTCACTTAATAATAATTACCCGATTTCTGAAAAATATGTCAAATTACGAATTACAGGGCAAAATAAACAAATAATAGAATAGTGCAAAATAATAGTATATTATGACGTTAGGAGAATAAGTGATACTTTATGTGCTATGCATGGAAAGTTTGTCTGACGAACGTAGTGAATCAGACAATCCATGCGAAACACATAAAGTATCTTATTCTCCGAACATCATATACTATTTTTTCTTCAAACGTTATAAATTATAGGTGAAATGATTAAAATAACTAAGAAAAAAACGAATTTTAAATAAAGATTGTAACATTGAATCTTTAACTTACTTCACTGTACTTATTACCATAGGTACTTGCATCTATCAAAACAAAAAATATTATCATGACTACTGATATCGCAAGAAGTGGAGGATTCTTAAATGATGCAAATCTTCACAATTGCACTTTTACTATAAATATTAATAACAAATAATAAATATAAAAAAAATAAATGTTCGATATTAAAATTGAATGCATAGTACTATGTGTTTATACTCCTAGGAGTATAAGTACTTATACTCCTAGGCATATAAATGACAGTTAATATTATTGAGTAACGTCACGCATAAGTCATCACTTATACGGTATTTGAGGAAAAAAGACATTTCTGTAATATTTTATTTATTGATAATGATTGTAATAAAATTACAGTACGGAAGTATATTTTGAAACGCACAGTAAATGATCATAAAAAGAACATGTACCCAAAATCGCAGTGGCATCTGAAGCAATTTTATTACATGAATCACCTTTTAAATATGACCAATCTGCACCGTAGGAAATATTTTTGTGCTCATGGTAGCTTCCAGTAATAGTCATATTGTAAACATTTCCCAGTTTCACAATGTGTATACCACCCAACATACAAGCAGCTAGTAAATAATTTTGATTTATTGGATTCCACTTTACTCTCCATAATGTACCAGGCATTTTAATAGAACTTATTTCGTTTTTCATTTTTCTTATGTCCCACAATCTTATGTATTCATCATAACTAAAAGTAATTGTAAAATTCATAAAAAATTATCACTTTGTATCAATTGCTTGGTAAATTAAATTCAATTTTAAAAACTGAAAACTGAAAAATCTGTTGGTTGATTAGTGGAAAATATTTTGCACATGTGCAACCATTTTGAGACCTCGAGGAGGGTAACACGAATTTTAACATTTTATTTTATGAATTTAATTAAAAATTTGTTTTTCACAAAAGGAAGAGGATGGGGAGAAGGCAGTGGCGGGTGACGCAAGTGATGCACCGCCTCACCTAAAATTTCCGTTTGGTTGTGCAATTTAAAATAATTTTCAATTTTATATAAATTTTACAATTTAGCTATAATTCTATATTGAAAATGTATTGTTTGCTTGTTTAATACTCAGAAATAAACAGAATAGTTACGCAGTAAACGCCTTCTAAAAAAACATTGCCTTCGTTGAGCGCAAACATCAACCTCGGACCAAACAACGTTTCGTAGAGTTGTTTCAAAATCTTATGAGCTTTGACCTTCATATGTGCAGAAACATAATTCCGACCGTCACTTAATTATTCTACGTTCTAAAAACATTACATCTATTATTCACAGTATATCTCGAGTTGTCGTAGCATAAACAAGCCTTTGATCCGATTACAAATATCTTAATAAAATGCCCTATTCTTTATTATTTTAATTTAAGCAATAAAAATAAATATAACGAATGTTCGTCAATGCACGATTATAACAGTTCTTTGTTAATATTTTGTTTTGTATAATAATTGTAGAAATGTTTTCTATGTATGATCCAGTGTGTATTTTATTGGACACGCCATTTTCCAGATGGAAAATTGAGGACAAAAAGATTTTTTTAAATTGTGAGAGACCTGTGCCTTATTCTCTTGATATGGAAAAAAGGGGAAACATGTACGTTCGAAAGTTTCGGAATGAATGGTATTCGGAGTATAAGTGGTTGTGTGGAAGTGTTCATTTAAAAAACCTTTTCTGTATGCTGTGTTTAATTGTGGGTGTAAAGTCGGGCGTGTGGAATAAGAAGGGATTTAACAATTTTGGGAACGTCACGCGAGGTTGTCGTAACCACAAAGCTTCTTTGGAACATACATGTACGATGTGTGTTAATGTTCGCAGAAGTCCACATGTCGAATTAATATTTCTATTTTTTATAAAATCTAAGTGAAAATTCTTACAAGAACGTCAGTTTTTCAGTAATATTGCAAATGCAACTAAAAATTTCCAGATTCATTTAAAGCCGTTTGTCCTTGAAAATTTTTAAATTTTCACCAGCAGCGCTTTTTTTTCTTTGTAGTTAATCAATGAATATGCTTCACCTATTCTCAATGTCACAAGCCGCCACTGGGAGAAGGATAGGGGTGAAAATGAGAAGGGGGAAGGTGATAATACTACTTTTATTTTGTAAGGAATTGAAATCCTCCAAAGGTAGACATAACATCAATAAAATATTCCTAATTACCTTCCAGATGCCAAAATATTTTCTTTGAAACAGCTAGAATGAAGTGAAGTGACGCCAGCACCGTGACACTTAATTTTGGCTATGGCTTGATTTTCTATTCTTTTATCAAATTTTAGAAACAATCCATCATCTCCACCTAAAACATTACAGTTTTTTTTATAAATAATAAATTATACCAATATAAATAGTGCTATTCTTTTGTTTTTTTTTCCATCCAATTTTGGAAAATATTTACTGCAATGGTGATTAAATGTATAAATGTCAATGCATATGATTTTTAATTTCCATTGTTTGTTCTCAGAAATAAAAGATATGGTTTATTGTCTTGGTATACGCTAATACATTATTTTAATTAATTCAAGAACAGTTAAACACTGCAAACTTTGTTTAGTGCAATTCATAATGGTAATCTCCAACTAAACTTTCAACAAAACCTAATGCCAACTTAAAATAAAGTTATTTGAAAGTGAAGAAAATTCTTGTTTAAAAGCTATACTGGGTGTAACGTAAAGGTTGGGAATAAATTAAACGATGGATTATTTGGTTTAAAAAATATTTTTTTCTCATATGAAGTTATGCTCTACGGGTTTTCTTTTCCAAGCTACAAGGCGCTAAAAAGTTTAAAAAAATTTAGTTTTTCTCCAATAAATTTCGAACATTATAAGATAATGGAACGAAATTTTAGCCTTCGCTTAATTTGATAATCCCCTAGTTACAGGAAAAAAATTGACTTTGTAAGTTACTCAGTGGCGCGCGTACGGATTGTACCATAAGGTTTTTCGAAGAAAATTGTGGTACGCCACTGGTAAAAACATCTTTTTAATATTTGTTTATGATCTACTTTTTATTTTAAACAAAATTACACTCTTGCGTTTTATTTCTAGCTCTTGTAATTTTTCCGTAAATAAAACTTTAGTAAATATCATTTTATCCCACTGCTAACAGAGGAATATAAAAATAACAAAAGCATTATGAAGTACGCTTTGACTCAGCCACCGAACATGGTCAAATAGGCATTGAAAAACGATTTTTGCAATGAAAATGATATTAAAAAACTAAATTTTTTGAAATTTTTTTAACACCCTGTAGCTTGGAAAAGAAAACCCGTAGAGCAGAATTTTATATGACAAATATTTATTTTTTTAAAATAAAAAATCCACTGTTTAATTTATTCCCAACCTTTATGTTACACCCTGTATAGTATGGATCATTTTCAACTGAAACTTTTCCCTTAAAATACCATCAATGATGAATGTAAAAATTGATATTTTCAGATCAGAGATAAAGATAAGTATAATTTAATTGAATGAGATATCCGACTGGATGGGGCTGGACATCTGAAATAATAGGTTTTCAACTACAATTTTTTTATGGTGACCCTAACGTTATATTTTCTTATATTTTTAATATCTGACTTCTTACTGTTTCAAAATATGACCCACATATGAAATTTCTTGCTTAAAAGAATTTGTTCCATCATCTAGTGAAGTTACTGCCTTCAAACTTGGACCATCCTATATCTACCTAAAAATATTTCATTTAAATTAAAATTTGAGATATGTATGTGTAAGTGCATTGTTTACCAAGCAGAACTTAAACTTTCAGGATTAAATTATTTTATTCTTTTAAATTACTTATTAGTCCAAGTTTTATCAATCTACATCAAATACTTTCCACACCTTTGGATAAATATAGATTTTTGAACTTACACACCCATTATTCCAGAAACTAAGCCTTTCCCAACCAATATTTATTATGCAGAACTATTTATTCTTAGTGTGGTTTTAAATCATTTTTCTTATTTTAAGTAGTCCTAACACTAGGTAAAGTTTGATGTGTTTGGAGCTTGTATACATCTAAAAATAAAATATCTAACCACTGAAAAATATATTTGTGTCCCAGTAATAAAATGCAGATATCCAAGCCTCAAAATCATGACCCTGCCAAGTATTTAATAAAATTATATTATTATCGATTAATTTCATCAAATGAATTCTGCCCTTTGAATCACTGCAGACAATTTCAGGTTCATTTGACCCATAAATAGCAGTAGACCAATCTAAGGATAAAATTAACGTTTCACTTTCACAATTCTGAATTTCTATAGACGATATCAAATCAATTTGCATCTTTTCACTGTTTAATCTATATACCTCAACCCTTTTTGAAGAATTTGCAACTCCTAATAATGCATAATTATTTATTTTATTATGACACCATTTTTGATCTAAAACAGCTGCAGTATTTAAAATCTGATGCATTTTTAAAGTATTATTTTGTGTGACAGAAAACAGCATAATTGTTCCCAATCGTTTCTTCTGACCAGCTTCTGAAATAGTTGTAGAGTAGTTAACTCTTTATCATAAATATTTTGTTTTTGTACCATCACAATCCAATAAATAATAATTTCCACATACAAAGACATTTTGATTAGGTTCATGAGGACACCATTCTACAGAATCTGCACTATATTCTGTATCAAATGAAAATAATGTGGAAATATTTTTCGACACGTATTCATTCATCGTTATATTTAAAAACTTCTTAATTAAATTATTTTGTAAACAAATTTCTTTTTCTAATCTGTGGAATTAGTCTGATTAAAATTGTTATGAAATTAGCAACGATCAGCGTTGCCAACCCGTGCATTTCGCCATTATTCCATGGCTAGAAATTGGCCTCAATGATTTGGGATCGAGGGGGATTATCCCTTTTTATCCTGCCTCATCTCGTGTAGGCCTGGACAGCCTTCGTAGGTGGGCCCCATCCGTCGTCTACCAGTTCAGAGCGAACAGCCAAGCTGAGCAGACGTGTTTGTTTGTGAAGTAAAGTGCATTGCAACGAGCAAGATCTAGCTGCCTTTATTAAGGCTACCTGGAAAGAATCCCTTTCTTTCCTTTTAACCACCGACCTAATCCCCGGCTAAAGCATAGACGCCGTCGGCATCTTTGTTATAGGTACCTGTGCCGGGGTTATGCCCAGGTAAGTTTTTACTTATTTATTAGTTATTTACATTACTTTAGAATAAATTTCTTTAAAATTGCGACCCCGACAAACAATATACCAGACAGACAAATACACCAAAAGACACGTACGCCCCAGTAAGGGGGCATCCCCACACGACTCGCCATTATTCCATGGCTAGAAATTGGCCTCAATGATTTGGGATCGAGGGGGATTATCCCTCTTTATCCTGCCTCATCTCGTGTAGGCCTGGACAGCCTTCGTAGGTGGGCNGGCCTACCATTTTTTTTTATTAAAAAAAGGTTGTAGCATTGTCGCACGAACGCCACTGGTGCAAGTAGAAGTATTCGGATCACCCCAAAAAATGGACATTTATCCCTTCAAAGCGTTTTTCAAATTTCGAGTCAACATTTTTTAACTGAAATAAAAATAAATAAAAAATTAAAATTTAAACACTCTGTATCTCGGAAACGAAATATATTTCGACCTACGTTTATATGAACTTTTTTCACAAAATTACTTCGGCAACCACCCCCTAAAATATTTCGCACTTATTTTCCAACACCCTGTATACACAGGGTGTAACCTCGAGGGGGTTATATTTATACGGGGGCTACCTTATACCTTTAGAATCACTTGTTATTTTATCAAATTCCAACGTGAAAACTCATTTTTTTAAATTTTTTTCTTAGTAATTTTCATATCCCGCCGGGCTATAAACTGGGCTATGCATTGTTGTCAAATTTCTTAATTTAAAGAAAAGGTTATTAAAAGGCAAATTTTCACACCACTGCTGTTGGGTCGATCTGCGACGTCACTCATTTCTCAATTCTAGATCGCACTAATTGACGTCACGAATTAGCGCGTCAACAAACACCTGTTTAAAACATTTATGTTGGCCGCCAAATTTGAATATTAATTGCAGCGGCACACAGAAAGAAACTCGAATGCGAATATGTAGACTCCGGTAGTGCTACTCATTTTTACGCCAAAAATCGATAAAAGACAGTGTTAGTCAAAGTTTGGTTCATAATTTTTGGTCGTTTTAATTAATAACAATAATATAATAACAGGCACACAAAAAAGTCCAAACCCAAAGGTCTGACATATCATTTCCGACGCATTTTGATGAACTGAAAACGATACCGCAGTCAGAATTTATGCACGACCGGCCAGTATCTTATAAAATCAATATTTAGTTGTAAAACATTATTCAGTTCGAATTTCGGACTTCTCTTCGTTTACTAGTAACCACCTTTTTCAGTTGAAGCGTACTGTCGATGATGCTGACGGCTCGCCATCCACAAAGAGATGTCGTAAAGATACATTTCAAGCCTGTTTCAACGTAACCCAAACTAGGAACACCGAAACTAATATAGCAAAAGAACACGGCTTTACTCCATTTAAAAAGCACCGCCAATANGGATATAGATATGGAAGAACAAATGGAGGCGCTCCTCGCCGATTGTAGCGGCACCGAGTCTGAATCGGAATCAGATTAAAATTCACTAGAAATATATATTAAAAAAAAAGCTAAATAAATAATCGACGCTGTGTAACTGAGTTTTTTTTTACAGTTTTTTTTTTGGATTATCAATTCTATGTAGGTGTAATATTTGTGATTTTGAAGAAATTATAGTTTCAAAAAAAATTGGACTTATGTGGACTGTTAATTTGTGCACTGTGATAAGCTAGAATAAAATAAATAATAAATAAAAGTTTACTCGCTTTCTGAGTAAAATATAATTTTTTTTCGCGAAACGATTAGAAATCAAATGCACTGTGGAATATATTTAAATATATTTAAGTATGTTATATTGTTTATTCAGAAACAAACTTTAACATATTATCTTGAACATCCATTTTGGTGATAAGGGTAAGGATAAAGATAATTGAAAAAATGTGTGGCAAAAAATATATTTTTTAATGCTACAAATTAATTATAAGCGTTTCTCTAGTCTCTTGTTCGAGCCGTCTTGTCCCTGTCGTTCATCTTCACTATTTCCGATAGCACTAAATGATGTCACGAATTAGCGAGTCAGCAAAGACCCGTTTAAAACATTTATTATTTCGTCTGCTAAACTTTAGTTGATCATTAATTATCGACTTCAAAGACATTTCTAATATTTTTACTACATGATTATATAAGGTTATAAATTATTTCTAGGCATTTACGAAGATATGTGCAAGTTGCAAATTACTCGCTTTCTGAAGAAAATAGATTATTTCTTCTTCGCAAAACAGTTAGAAGCCAAATGCACTGTCTGCCGAAGATCTTCAAATATCTTTGTGTAGATACATAGGTAGAGTTGTTTCAAAATCTTATGAGCTTTGACCTTGATATGCGCAGAAACATAATTCCGACCGTCGGCGTCGCCTAAAACAAGCCTTTGATCCGATTACAAATATCATAATAAAGTGCCCTATTCTTTATTATTTTAATTTAAGCAATAAAAATATATGCCCTATTCTTTATTATTTTAATTTAAGCAATAAAAATATATATAACAAATGTTCGCCAGTTGACTTTATTGATGCCCGAACGCCATAGTTCATTTCTGGTTGTAATGAGGGCGTACGTATCTCTCCCGTGCCGTTATTTTTTGGCGTTAAGCGTGGCCACGATAATTGGAACCGAGGGAGACTATCCTTTATCCTGCCTTATTGCTGTAGGCCTAGGCAGCCTCGTGAAGGTGGGCCCCATCCATCGTCTACCCCGACCACAAGCATAGCCGGTGTAGGCGCTTTGCGGGACCTCCTCTTGCCCTGGCTGGCCCCCGCCGGCAGATGAGCCTCTTCTGGCGTTCTTCGTGTCTTAACTTTTCTTTCTTCGCCGGCTTGTCTAGCCCCCCGGGGGGTAGTCATCGTGAGGAGTGGATTTTTGGGAATAGTTTGTAGCTAGGGAATGAACGCGGCCTTTGAGTCGGGGGCTCGCGTTGTTATTTTGACCTGTACAATCAGTTACTGGAGTTTGGTGCGATTCTCCCTATTTACCTTGTAGATATATCACTCTGCTCTTAACTATGTATATAAAAAGCAAAATGTTATCAGTAAGATTGCTTTTTATCATAACAATTTGAGAATATAACAGATGGTCTGTGAGTATATTTTGAGGTTAAATTTAGTGGAGAGACTTTTCATTTAACTGATCCACTGTGAGTATGTAGAGCACTCAACTCAATGACAATAGCTGTATATACAACATAATGTATGTAGGTATATACAAAATAATCGAAAAATTTGCACTTGTAGTGGGAATTTAATGATTTGGATTTCATATATTTTCTTAGAATATACGTTTGTCTAATACTGCCACAAACTCAATGGAACATGGCTAGAAATTGGCCTCAATGATTTGGGATCGAGGGGGATTATCCCTCTTTATCCTGCCTCATCTCGTGTAGGCCTGGACAGCCTTCGTAGGTGGGCCCCATCCGTCGTCTACCCCGACCGCAAATGCGGCCGGTGTAGGCGTTTTGTGGGACCTCCTTTTGTCCTGGCTGGGCCCCGCCGGCTAGGGCCCTTTCTTCTGGCGCTCTTCTTGCTTCGCCGGCTCGTCTGTATAAACCCCGGGGGTAGTGTCATGTTTATGTGTGGTATGGTTGGGTAGGGTAGTGCGGCTATGCAGCCTGGGACGCGCTTTGCTAAGGTAGCCCTTAGCCCAGCGCGGGAGGGGAGGGGAAAGGAGGGTATGGGGGGTGTGTATGTGTGTGTGTGTGTCGTTGTCTTCGTTTCTTGATCCTGGCTGTCTCTNTATGAGCTTTGACCTTGATATGCGCAGAAACATAATTCCGACCGTCGGCGTCGCCTAAAACAAGCCTTTGATCCGATTACAAATATCATAATAAAATGCCCTATTCTTTATTATTTTAATTTAAGCAAAAAAAATATATATAACGAATGTTCGCCAGTTGACTATTGATGCCCGAACGCCATAGTTCATTTCCGGTTGTAATGAGGCACGTGGTCTAATTCTGAGTCCATGTTTTCACAACGTGCTTATTAGAAGAATTATGCGGATACGCCACGCCTTTCGCGCATTTCGCGGCTCATGAGATTTTGAACTACTCTGCAAAAATAAACCTTTAATACATTATAGATATCTTGAAAATCCAATTTAACAACTACATACATTACTAGTGGCAGTTTTCCATATAAACAGGATGAATTGAGAGAATCGCACCAAACTCCAGGTATGGATTCTATATGTCAAAATAATAAGAAAAAACTCAAATGTTATGCGGTTTTCATTTGTTTTCAAGTTATGACGTACATTTCAATAAAAAAATAATTTGTTGATATTCTATTAATCATAGCGTTCTTTGATTAAATGTTCAAAAACACCACCATTCACCTCTAAACACTTTCTGCCAGGTCTACAAAGGGCGTATGTATCTCTCCCATGCAGTTATTTTTTGGCGTTAAGCGTGGCCACGATAATTGGNCCAGGGCGCGTCGGTGGCCGTGCGGAGGGCTATGTTTTCCACACTCAATGGAACAACATGTTGATGTTTAATTGATTTTTATGTAAAGTCCTAAAATTCATGCAAGATGTAATTTTGATAGAAGACACAAGATTTTAAATAAAAATTGTAATTTTTTTACTGATTTATAAAGTATGCTG